ACATTGAAAAATGCTCTTAAGAGAATTGTTAATTCTGTTTCCCAAAACTTCCTGGATAAAACAATTGTACCTTAATGCTATTAAGACTATGCTAGGCCGGGCGCGGTGGCTCAAGCCTGTAATCCCAGCACTTTGGGAGGCCGAGGCGGGTGGATCACGAGGTCAGGAGATCGAGACCATCCTGGCTGACATGGTGAAACCCCGTCTCTACTAAAAATACAAAAAACTAGCCGGGCGTGGTGGCGGGCGCCTGTAGTCCCAGCTACTCAGGAGGCTGAGGTACAAGAATCAGTTGAACCCAGGAGGTGGAGGTTGCAGTGAGAACTGCACTCCAACCTGATGACAGAGTGAGATTAAAAAAAAAAAAAAAAAAAAAAAGACTATGCTAGGTGGTTTTTTCTTTAAGTAACAAGACTGACACATAAACTATGACCGCGACATTTAAGATGAAAGTGTTCAGGGCACACGTCACTTTATTGTCCTTTGCTTTATTACACTTGGTAGTAGCGGAAGGTTTACGGCAGCCCTGTGATAAAGAAGCCTGTCCATGCCATGTGTTCACTTCATGCCTCTGTGTCATGTTTTGGCAGTTCTCGCAGTATTTCACACTTTTGCGTTATTATGTCTGTGACTGTAATCTGTAGTCAGTGATCCTTGTCGTTTCTAATGTAATTATTTTGGGGGCATCACAAACCATGTCCGTGTAAGAGGGCGGATTAGTCCATTCTCACACTGCTGTAAAGATACTACCTGAGATCGGGCAATTTATAAAGAAAGGAGGGTCAATTGACTTGAGGTTCTGCATGGCTGGGGAGGCCTCAGGAAACTTAGGGGAAGTGAGGCACGTCTGACATGGTGGCAGGAGAGAGAGAGTGTGCAGGAGAAACAGCCACTTGTAGAACTATCAGAACTCATGAGTACTCCCTCACTATCATGAGAATTGTGTGGGAGAAGCTGTGCCCATGCCAATCACCTCCTACCAAGTACCTCCCTCGGCACGTGGAGATTACAGTCCGACATGAGATTTGGGTAGGGACACAGAGCCAAACCATATCAAACGGCCAAGTTAATTGGTAAATGTTGTATCTTCTGACTGCTCCACTGACCGACTGTTCTATCCCTCCCTCTCCTGGATCTCCCTATTCCCTGAGACACAACAATATTGAAGTTAGACCAGTTAACAACCCTGCGGTGGCCTTCATGTATTCAAGTGAAAGACAGTTGCACACCTCTCACTTTCAGTCAGAAGCTGGGTGGATCACCTGAGGTCAGGAGTTCAAGACCAGCCTGGTCAACATGGGAAAAGCCGTCTCTACTTAAAAAAAAAAAAGAAAAATTAGCTGGGCGTGGTAGCGTATGCCTGTAGTCCCAGCTACTTGGGAGGCTGAAGCAGGATAATCACTTGAACCTGGGAGGCAGAGGTTGTAGTGAGCCAAGATGGCACCAATGCACTCCAGCCTGGGCAACAGAGCAAGACTCTGTCTCCAAAAAAAAAAAAAAAGAAACGAAGCTAAAAATGATTAAGCTTAGTGAAGAGGCCATGTTGAAAGCCAGCACAGGCTGAAAGCTAAGCCTCTTGTGCCAAACAGCCGAACTGTAAATGCAAAGGAAAAGTTCTTGAAGGAAGAGAAAAGTGCTGCTCCAGTGAACACACCAATGATAGAGAAATAGCCTTCTTGCTGATAGGGAGAAAGTTTTAGTGCCTGGAGAGATGATCAGCCCAGACATTATATTTCCTTAAGCCAGAGCCTAATCCACAGTGAAGTCCTAACTATCTTCACTTCGATGAAGACTGACAGAGGTGAGGAAGTTGCAGAAGAAAAGTTTGAAGAGGTTGGTGAGGTTCAAGGAATGAAGCCATCTCCGTAACATAAAAGTGCAAGGTAAAGTAGCAAGTTGTCTAGAAGAATTAGCTAAGATCATTGATGAAGGTGGCTCCACTAAACAACAGATTTTCAATGTGTATTAAACATCTTCTGCTGGAAGAAGATGCCATCTGGAACTTTCCCAGCTAGAGAGGAGAGGTCAGTGCCTGACTTCAAGGCTTCAAAGGACAAGCTAACTCTTGTCACAGCTCATGCAGGTGGTGACTTTAAGTTGAAGTAAGCACTCATTTTCCATTCTGAAAAGCCTGGGGCCCTTAAGAATCATGCTGAATCTCTGCTGCCTGCGCTCTACACCTGGAAAAACAAAGCCTGGATGGCTCCTGAACTGTATGGGGGACCTTGTTACACGCTGGTTTCCCAAGTGTTTTAAGCCCAGTGTTGAGACCTGCTGCTCAGAAAAAAAAGAGTCCCTCAAAATATAACTGCTCATCAGCAGTGCACCTGATCACCCAGGAGCTCTGATGCGCTGCACAAGGAGTTGAAGGCTGTTTTCTTGCCTGCTGACACCTCCTCCATTCTCCAGCCCAGGGATCCAGGAGAAATTTCAGCTTTCAAGTCTTATTATTTAAGAATTACATTTTGTAAGACAATAGCTGCCACAGTGATTCCTCTGATGGATCTGGGCAAAGTAAGTCGAAAACCTCCTGGAAAGGATTCACTATCCTAGATGCCATTGAAAACACCAGTGATTCGTGAGAAGAGACAAAATATGAACATTAACAGGAGTTTGGAAGAAGTTGATTCCAGCTCTCATGGATGACTTTGAGGGGTTCAGAACTTCAGTGGAAGAAGGAGGTGCAGGTGGAATGGAAATAGCGAGAGAACTGTAGTTAGAAGTAGAGCCTGAAGAGGGGACTGAATTGCTGCAGTCTCAGGATCAAAGTTTAAGGATGAGAAATTGCTTCTTATGACTAACAAAGAAAGTGGTTTCCTGAGATGGAATCTACTCCTGGTGAAGATGCTGCAAACATTGTTGAAATGACAATAAGCGATTTAGAATATCACATAAATTTAACTGATAAAGGAGTAGCAGGGTTTGAGAGGATGACTCCAATTTTGAAAAACGTTCTACTGTGGGTAAAATGCTGTCAAACAGCATGGCATGCTACAGAGAAATCTTTTTTGAAAGGAAGAGTCAGTGCAGCAAACTTCACTGTTGTCTTATTTTAAGACATTGTCACAATCACCCTAACCTTCAGCAACCACCACCCTAGTCAGTCAGCAACCATCAACACTGAGGCAAAACCCTCTACCAGCCAGATTGTGACACGCTGAAGGCTTAGGTGATCGTAAGCATTTTTTAGCAATAAAGTGTTTTAAAATAAAGGTATGTACATTTTTTAAAAGATATAATGCTGTTGCACACTTAATAGACTGTAGTTTAAACATAACTTTTGTATGCCTTGGGAAACCAAAAAATGTGTGTGACTCACATGTTGCAATATTCCCTTTACTGCACTGCTCTAGAACCCAGCGCGCGATATCTCCGAGGCATGGCTGTGTAGGAAAAATTCTTTATTTCTTTATTAAATAGCATCTTTGAATTGTATTCTCTTTACTGTTCTTTTAACCACAATGGCCTCATCTGATTTTACTTAGATGCTTACCTGCCACTTTCCTTGACACAGCCGCCCTTTCTTGAAGTTCACGTGGCTCCTGTGTCTCTTGGCTCTGCGTATGGAACAGTCACCATTGGGGATCCTCTGATGGTGCGCTGTGCAAGGTGCTTGCATTTGAACCTGAGTCGAGTGCAAGATTCTGTGCTGCATCTTTGATATGTTCTTATTTCCTGAAGTAGATTTGTGATCAGGAGTAACAACCTTCAGAACTAAATGATAGAATCCTGTTACAATGCCCTCTTAAATCTTAGTTTCCTCATAACAGGTATTTTTGTATGACCAGAATATTTTGTTGTGGCAGGGAGTACCTGTTCCTTTTTAAGTTCCGTGAGAGAAATGAGAAAGGAAAATGAGCTCTTCAGTCAATGTTTATAAATACATTCATATGATTTAGATGTAGAGGTTTAGCCAGGTGGTTCAATGGGTGGACTAGGGAAAAACATTTATTTTAAGGGGGAAGTAAAGCATAGGTTGATACTGATGTTTGCAATCCAGTTTGAAGATTAGTTGCCTATTTTTTCCTTCCTAATTTTTATATTTATATCTCATTTCTGTTACACTGAGAAATCTTAGCCTTTCAGGATCTTAAAATTTTTTTTTTTTTTTTTAGTTCTATCTGTAAGAATCTTGACTCTTCCACTTTATATTTGCTTGCAAGCAAAAAGGGATTCAAGCAGTTTTGTTACTCAGCTATATGCGTGACTGAGATCATGCAATTTTACTTAGAATTTCTTCTACAAATATGGAGCACAAGTAATTTTATTATGTGCTGTTAAAGGAACATAATAGGAAAAGCAGTATTTCTAATCAATAGTTTTTACCAACCAACATCTACTTAATGGAATGTTAGTTAACTGTATGGGAATTATTCTAAGATAAACACAGATGTCGAATGAATGGGTAGAGCACGGTCTGCTAATTGGAAAATACAAAGTAAAACAATGATAAAGTTCGTTATTTAACTGCCAGATAGGCTGGGTTTTAGTATTGTTTTTGGTGAGGTATGTGAAAAGGACATTTTCATACACTTTGGGTGGGAATGTAAATGGGTACAGTATTTTTGGAGGGCAAGTAGGTACTATCTATTGACATTAAAAGTGAATATAAGCCTTTGACCCCAAAATCTGACTTTTGGAATGCTAGTCTATATATGTATACAAGAACATGTATGTAAAAAGGCATTCCCCAAATCATTATTTGTAATTACAATAAAGAGAAACTGTCAGAATTCTAAGTGTCCATCCACAGGAGATTGGGTAAATAAATTATTTTATGATTTTACTAGCAAAAACTGTGACATTATCAAAAAACAAAAAGAGGCAGGTCTTCACGTACTACCAAAGAAAGATGTCCTTGATATATTACGAAGGATGAAGTGTGTGAGTCTGTGTTGTGTACTAACACATTTTGTCTATAAAGAAACAAGTCTGTGTGCACCTGATTTGATAGTTGGAAGTTGTTTGGAACTTAATATTTTGCCCTTGTTTTAAAACAGCTTTTAGAAATTAACTGGACAGGACTGACGAATCTTCTGGATATCCCTGGATTGAAGTAAGTCTCATGCCTGGTCCCTGAGGCTTAGCGTTCGAGGGCGTGTTGTGCATTTTCGATGTCTTGACAATAGTGTGAGAATGGTTAAGACCTGCGTCTGCCAGGTGAATGGGTGCCTTCTCCACAGGCGGTCATGAGAAACAAGCAGAGGCACAGGGGCTTCCTTCTGCCCACAGGGAGCTGCTGGGAAGTGATGGGCCAGGGCAGGAGGGCTCTGGAGTGCCAGCTGAGCACTCAGTCTTCATTTGCTTTTGTTCACCACAAGGTGTCTTGCTGGCCTTGGCATTTTAGAAAAGTAGAGGCCTTTTAATATTTTGTAAACCAGTTTGCCAATTTGTTTTTTTTGTTTTTTTTTTATCTTCTCAGAAACAATAAAGGAAACTTTAAAAGGAAATGCTTTCCAGGGTCTCTCCAGCCTATGGCTACCCCACCCTTTCCGCATTTTTTTTTTTTAAACCTTTATTCCATTCCTTTTTGAAAGTGGTTGGGGACAGTGTGGACTTCGCCAGTACTCTTCAGTGTGAGAGGTGAGGAACTTGAAGTTCCATATCATTTCACTGGGAGTCCTTTCATTATTACACAGCGATCTGGTGTCTAAAACAGGAGAAAAATGTTGCGTAACAAGCATCTGAGGCCCTGGAGAGTGCATCCCTGCTCAGAGACAAGGAATCATTCTAGTTACCATGGTCCCGTTACCTGAAACAGTGCATGGGGCTGTGGATGGCAGACCTGTTGGTCACCCCCAAATACGAAGTTTTGAAATTACAGCCTCTAAATGCTTTTGCTGACTTTACCGGTTTTTTTGAAAGTTAAAACACATCACCTTTGGGTTAAAGTTATATGTTTCTAGTGGATATTTTCTTTTTTTTTTTTTTTTTTTTTTTTTTTTTTTTTGAGACGGAGTCTCGCTCTGCCGCCCAGGGTGGAGTGCAGTGGCCGGATCTCAGCTCACTGCAAGCTCCGCCTCCCAGGTTCACGCCATTCTCCTGCCTCAGCCTCCCGAGTAGCTGGGACTACAGGGCGCCCGCCACTGCGCCCAGCTAGTTTTTTGTATTTTTAGTAGAGACGGGGTTTCACTGTGTTAGCCAGGATGGTCTCGATCTCCTGACCTCGTGATCCGCCCGTCTCGGCCTCCCAAAGTGCTGGAATTGCAGGCTTGAGCCACCGTGCCCGGCCTCTAGTGGATATTTTCTAGTGTGATTTGTTTTTCCTAAAATAGTTTAGAAAATTATGAAACTTGGTTTCAGACTATTTTTTTATTCCCGTATATTTGTTTATGCCTCTGAAATGGCCTTTCTAAAGAGTTTTGTTTCATTATTAGGGAAAAATTAGGACTTTAATTATCTGAAGCACAGTCATAATAAAAGTCCTTTTTAGGTGCTGTAGTTTACTGGATACAGAAAAATGCTGTGATCTTTAAAAGATCTGCGGAAAGAAAGCACGACTTTAAAAGATTGGTTAAAGAGTTCATTAACATTCTGGTTGCAAGCAACAAACCTGACTCAAGTGGTCTTAAGTAGGTAAATAAGTTTCTTTTCTTTCCTTTTTTTTTTTTTTTTTCTGAGATGGAATCTCTGTTGCCCAGGCTGGAGTGCAGTGTTGCTATCTCAGCTCACTGCACCCTCCGTCTCCTGGGTTCAAGCAATTCTCCCTGCCTCAGCCTCCCAAGTAGCTGGGATTACAGGCGCATGCTGCCACACCCGGCTAATTTTTGTATTTTTTTAGTAGAAATGGGGTTTTGCCATGTTGGTGAGGCTGGTCTTGAACTCCTGACCTCAGGTGATCCGCCCACCTTGGCCTCTCAAAGTGCTGGGATTACAGGCATGAGCCACCGCGCCTGGCCAGTAAATAATATTTTCAAAAAGCAGTTTATTCACTCTTCCAACAATGGGCGCCCACTGCCTGCTCTGAGCCGGTCGCAGCTGCTCGTGCATGGGACACGCCTGTGCTTGTTTCCTGCTCAGCAGCTGGAGTGCTGACGTGTCCTCTGAGGGGTTTCAGATGGAGCCATGTTGGCACCGTAAGGGCTCTCTCTCCAGTTCCTGACCCATGTAGAGTGGGCGTGTCCCTCGTGGGCTGGTTTTCAGGCAGGCTCTTGCTGTGCCTGCAGCTATAAGCCTTTAGTCTGCGGATTTAGTCACCTTTTCCCCTAGGTCCTGGCCTGACTTGTGTGTGCAAAGACCACCCTTGGACAGATTCCTGCGACTCCCGACGATCAGGTTTCAATCTCCAGGACATTCCTACAGAAGGCAAAGAAATGGATAACTTGTGTGAAAAAAACTCCAGTGAATGGGGGTATCCCCCAAAGCAAAAACTTTCACTAGAAGTAGGGAGAGTAGATACTATTTAGCCAAATGGAACAAACATTCACACACATCAGTGTAGAAAAAAGTATTTGATTTTGCCTCCCTTCAGTATCACAGGAGTACTGAAACAAAACAGCATTATTGAGCATCTACTCTGTAAATAGCGTTGTATTAATACTGGCAACCTGAAAGGGCCAAGTCGAAGAATGTCTTCTGCCTCGGCAAGCCTGCAGTTTGGGGAAGTTGATCCCTGATTCATTTTATTTAAAAGTCATTCACACATACACACGTAAATACAGAGATACATACATGTATAGCTCCATTCTATTTAATAATTTATATGTTGGCTTTTTTTTTTTTTTTTTTTTGAGACGGAGTCTCACTGTGTCGCCCAGGCTGGAGTGCAGTGGCCGGATCTCAGCTCACTGCAAGCTCCGCCTCCCAGGTTCACGCCATTCTCCTGCCTCAGCCTCCCGAGTAGCTGGGACTACAGGCGCCCGCCACCTCGCCTGGCTAGTTTTTTTTGTGTGTTTTTTAGTAGAGACGGGGTTTCACCATGTTAGCCAGGATGGTCTCGATCTCCTGACCTCGTGATCCGCCCGTCTCGGCCTCCCAAAGTGCTGGGATTACAGGCTTGAGCCACCGCGCCTGGCCTATATGTTGGCTCTTTTTATACAGTAGTCATTTCTAGCAATTTTATTTTTATTTTTCATTTTTTTAGAGAGAGATCTCATTATGCTTCTCAGACTGGCCTCAACCCCCTGGGCTCAAGGGCTCTTCCTGCCTCAACCTCCCAAGTAGCAGAACTATAGACTTGAACCACTGCTTCCGCTTCTCTCTCTTCTTTGTATTTTTTATATATGTAATATAATGAACCACTGCACCCAGCTTCTCATCTTCTATGTAGATTTTATATATGTAATACAATGAACCACTGCACCCAGCTCCTCTTGTCTTTTATGTAAATTTTATATATGTAATACAAAAATATACTCCTATATGTAGAATTATGTCATTAAAAATATATCCTTATATAACAGATAAATACACATACACCATTCAAAAAATAGGCTGCTGTATAAAAGGGAGATGTAAAAATATCTCTTCTGAGTTTATATATATAGATATACATAATTTATACACAATTATGTAGATTTTATATAATACAATTATGTTTACATAAATGTTATGTACTGAAATTTAATAGGTATGTATGTAAAATTGGGGCGACTAGTTCTCACTGAGTCTATCAAATAAATCACAGCTATAGCAACTCTTAGGTTATAAAAGTGAATATTAAATAACTATGAGACCAAATGCAGTGACTCACACCTGTAATCCCAGCACTTTGGGAGGCTGAGGCAGGTGGATCGCCTGAGGTCGGGAGTTTGAAACCAGCCCAGCCAACATGGTGAAGTCCCATCTCTAATAAAAATACAAAAATTAGCTGAGCGTGGGCACACGCCTGTAATCCCAGCTACTCGGGAGGTGGAGGTTGCAATGAGCCAATATCACGCCATTGCACTCCAGCCTGGGCAACAGAGTGAGACTCTGTCTCAAAAAAGAAAGAAATTTTAAAAATAAATATGAACTTAACATAATGAAATCTTGTACCAATCTTTATGAAATGAGCATCCACATGCTATATTAATTGATTATAAAAAGAAACCCCAGACGTTGTAGTGTAAGAATAATGCCTGAATTCCTTCACTGCACCATGACTTTGGGCTATCCCTGTTAAATATCTGCTGTGTTTTGATAAACGGCTCTGAGCTGAGTGTTGAAGGCGTGAGAAGGCCGAAGATTATGGTGGAAACAAAATACAGGCGATGAGCAGTCGTGGTTCTGAAGGACACACAGGGAAATAGTGACTCCCAAGAAAGTAACCAGTACAGGAGATGCTTCTGTGCAGACCTAGGGGAGCAGCATCCACACCCCGACAGTTCGGGGCCGTGCGGGGCGTGGTGGGGTGAGGAGGCACAGCGAGGGGCCCCCCCCAGGGAGCTGTGTCAGCTGCTGTGGGCTCCGAGGCCGGGAGTCTGTGTGGGAGAAAGGTGGGTGGGTCCTGCCCCTGCGTGGTGAACACACAGCCTGTGTCTGCTGGCTGAAGCCCTCCGAATCTCTGTGGGAGTATTAACTGTCTGAATAACTGACCTGTTCATAAGTAGAGTAGTGTTACATACAGTTTTTCTTTTGGGGGGCTTTTCAAGTTTTTTTCCATATTAAACTGAAAAGTGCTTGAGGTGCTGGGTCGTCACATGTGGATACTGTCCTGCAGTGGGTGCTTGGACTTTATTTGTTGAATGTTCATGATTATCACTGTCTCAGTGGTTATTTTTGTTTGTAATTATTTATGTTAATAATTTTAGCATCTGAAACTTTACTGGTGAGAAGCAAAGTACTTTTGCAACTTCACAGTTCAGGTAAAGGTGTTATACAGCAATGAAACTTACGTTTATAAATGTTTTTAAAAGTGCTGCCATGTACGCATTATTTAATTCTCACGGTTACCCTAGAGAATAGGATACATATATGTTTGTTTGTTTGTTTAAGTAGAGATGAGGGGGTCTCGCTCGGTGTTGCCCAGGCTAGTCTCCAGCTCCTGGGCTCAAGCGATCCTCCCACCTTCGCCTCCCCAAAGTGTTAGGATTACAGGCGTGAGGCACCATGCCCGGCCAAAAAAGATATATTAAAAGTACATCTTTGACCAGGCATGGTGGCTCACGCCTGTAATCCCAGCACTTTGGGAGGCCATCGCGGGTGGTTCACCTGAGGTCAAGAGTTCGAGACCAACCTGGCCAACATGGTGAACCCTGTCTCTACTAAAAATACAAAATTAGCCAGTCACGGTGGCACGTGCCTGTAATCCCAGCTACTTGGGAGGCTGAGGCAGAAGAATTGCTTAAACCCGGGACCTGGAGGTTGCAGTGAGCTGAGATCATGCCATTGTACTCCAGCCTGGGCAACAAGAGCAAAACTCTGTTTCAAAAAAAAAGCAAGTATATTTTTTCCTTTAGCCTAAGCAATTGTATTCACTTAGTTTGCTGTGCAGTGATGTATTTCAAAATTATTAATGTGTTCAATACTCAAAGTGTTGGATAATGGATAAGAGAGAACAAAGTAAGTTCTCCTTCAATGGGGGCGAGTATACAACAATGGAGAAATGGGATGTGTGTATAAACAAGAATGGGCCAATGAATGTTATTCTCTGTACTTATATGTATGTTTGAAATATTTTATGTTAAAAAAGTCAGTGAAGTGTATTTTAGTAAATAAGTATACAATCTGCGATGAAGTAGGAATACATCAAATGTTGTTTAGGAAATTATGAAGTGTATTAGGTTGGTGCAAAAGTATTTGTGGTTTTTGCCATTTTATTTGCAAAAACCACAATTACTTGTGCAATAACTAGAATTTTACCTTGTGTTCTACAAATAAATTCTGTGTCATAGTCTCCATAGTAGTATCATAGCTGAAGGATTGAAATGAGGGTTGTAAATACTGCACGGGAGAAATGAGGTAACTCCTACTCTGTAACTAAGTGGGACGTTACATCATATTCGTGGTAAGTCTGTTGTCGGTGTTGAGAGAAGTGTTCGCATGTCTGATGGTCCTTTTGCTCTTTTTGTCTCCCAACGAACAGTGGTTTATCAGATACTATCATTTCGGATATGATATCAAATTATCTGGTGCTTCCCAATCGAATCACCGTTCCACTTGTCAGTGAAGTTCAGATAGCTCAGTTGCGGTTTCCTGTACCAAAGGTAAGCGTGTCCTGGCATCCACTCACATTGAAAGACAGACCTTGGCTGCCTGTGGGTGTGGCATTGGGTGCCGTGACTCTTTGTCTCTCCAGCGGCCAGCTTGCCACATGGGTCTTGATGCCTTGACTGTTGCTCGTCCGCCACTCTCCTTAAGAGACTTGACTGATGGGCGCTGACCCTAAAGCTCGTCACAGAGACAGCAGGATGGTTCTCCCCCCAGAGCTGTGTTCCTCACAGGGGCCGGTAGGGATTTAAATCCGCGGAGGTGCATGGCACAGACACCTTAATTACCTCAGACGCACATACTGCGTTTGTTTTTATTAAAATGGACAGGCACCAGTGTTCCTGGCAGTCATGATGAGAGCTTCGTATAATAATTCGTATATTTTCTCTCAGCTGTTAGAATTCCGTTGCCTCTGAAGCCATTTAATGAGTAACCTGGTAGAAGCAGCACTGATATAACTGCTGACCTGGATAAAATGGAAAGAACAGAACTAGATTTTTGTCGCAGCTCCTGAGTTTAGCTGTAGCTTTGCTTTTGTGGGCACTTTTCTTGGCGTAGCTGGGCCACAGTTTCATCGTCTGTAAAATGGGACAGCACCCGCACACAGAGCTGGTTGCAGATACTGATGTCACCTTCATTTGAGCAAACGAAATAAATAACTGCAAGGTAGTCAAGAACATGAGATTCCTTCTGCTGACTGTGGAAGGGGTGGGTGGAGTGAAGGATCTCTCATGGGCTAAGGAGAGCTTTTCAGTCACTCAGGTGTTGGATCCCATGTCTATTTAGTCTACCTGGACTTTGGACTCCAGAAGCCAAGTGAGCATTACCATCATGGTGGTGTCTGTAGTAAGCAGTGCACACCACGTTATTTATTTTTACTGAAACAGGACGTGGTAAGTTGGTCCTGTTTCAGTGGGTATATTGGTTTTTCTTTTTTTGTTCGCTGAAGTAGAAGCAGATCGCTTTCTCCTGATGCCTTTTTACTTTTTCTGGTTTAATTAGATCTAAATAATGGTGCACAAGTTAACAGACACGCAGAGGCATCCTTATATTTTTTTAAAGTAACAATATGCCAGTTAATTTGGTGCTCAAATTGGTTATATCATTGGCATTCAACAGCTTTAATGTGATGCTGTATATTAGAAAAGAATGTCTTTTTTCCTTAACTTCTGACTCTCACCTCTGGAAATGCAGGAATCCCTTTACATGTAGAAATCCTCGTGCTCCTCTGCACCTCAGTCTCTCATGCTCTGAGTACAGGTGAGCACCTGAGCGTGCCGGGATCTGGCTGCCCTTAGCTACATGGGCCTAACAGCCAGTGCCCTCAATAGATGTGGCCAGATTATCCCAGCTTTAGACGTATGAAAATATAAACAAGAGCTGCTTCGAGTTTTTGAAGTGTGTTCCTCTGTGGAGGGACATGTATTCCTGTGCTGATTGAATGAGGAATATCACTCTGTAATTTATTTATTTTTTTTTTATTTTTTTTGAGGCAGAGTCTTGCTCTGTTACCCAGACTGGAGTTCAGTGGCGCAGTCTCGGCTCACTGCAAGCTCTGCCTCCCGGGTTCGCACCATTCTCCCACCTCAGCCTCCCGAGTAGCTGGGACTACAGGCGCCCACCACCATGCCCGGCTAATTTTTGTTTTTTAGTAGAGACGGGGTTTCACTGTGCTCGCCAGGATGGTCTTGATCTCCTGACCTCATGATCCACCCGCCTTGGCCTCCCAAAGTGCTGGTCTTACAGGCGTGAGTCCCCGCGCCCCGTGCCCGGCCATCACTCTGTAATTTTATAAAAGGATCTGTAGGGGCAGAATGCTTCCTACCAAAAGGTGACTTGAACATCTTTGTTTGCCTTGGAAGAAATGAGGGAATTTTTTATTCTTTTATCAATAAAACGGTATTTTAGGGAAAGGACTATGTTTGTTTGTTTGTTTGTTTATTTTGAGACAGGGTCTTGCTCTGTCGCTCAGGCTGGAGTGCAGTGGCGCCATCTCAGCTCACTGCAAGCTCTGCCTCCTGGGTTCAAGTGATTGTTACAGCCCAGCCTCCTGAGTAACTAGGACTACAGACATGTGCCACGATGCCTGGCTAAATTTTTTGTATTTTTAGTAGAGATGGTGTTTTGCCATGTTGGCCAGGCTGGTCTTGAACTCTTGGCCTCAAGTGATCTGCCCACCTCAGTCTTCCAAAGTGTTGGGATTACAGGCGTGAGCCACCGTGTCTGGCCAAGAGTATGTTTGAAGTCTATGAATAATACATATTTCAAAGTTGCAGTTTTCTTCTCTCTAAAATAAGTTTAATGACACTATTTCATAGGATTATTCTAAAAATGGAACAGCATAGTTACTGCATGTCTAATGCTTAGTGACAGGTCTGATACAACCTCTCGTGTTATTACTCACTGTTGCACCAGGATCTAGTACAGCTTGGTGGCCTGTGTCACCAGCCTCCTTGAGATAAGCACAGTGCTGTGCTGGGTCCTCTGCGCTCGGCATCCCTCTGCCAGGAGCGCCACGTGGGGCTGCCCGTCCTCGTATCTCTGTGGAGGGGTCATCACTCCAGAAGCCCCTCTGTTCTCCTCTGAGCCAGCCCCACCCGGGCACTGCTGCCTTGCCCTGCTCTTGTTTTTCTCAGCACCTGCTTCTCCTGTACATGCTTACCGCGTTTCCCTGCTGCTGGGACGTAATTGGCACCAAAGGAGGGTCTTTGTTCCCTCTGCATGCCCAGTTCTTGAGACAGAGCCAGACACGTAGCTATCTTCCACGCCAGTTAAACGAGCCAGCCAAGGGTCTAAACTTCAGTTTGTTCTTCTTTTCAGGGTGTTCTAAGGATACATTTTATTGAAGCTCAGGACCTTCAGGGGAAAGACACTTACCTTAAGGGACTTGTCAAAGGAAAGTCAGACCCCTATGGAATCATTAGAGTTGGCAACCAAATCTTCCAAAGCAAAGTCATCAAGGAGAACCTCAGTCCAAAGTGGAATGAAGTCTATGAGGTAGGGTGTCGTGTCCGCTGTGTCGCTGGGGCGGTGGGCTGAGCCCTGAGCGGGGTGGCCAAGCTCTCATTCCAGCATGGTCATGTGGGACTGTGGCTAATTTAGGCCATCATTTCAATATTCCTTGTTTAATTTCTCAAATTTAAAAAGTGTCGTACCTTCTCTCCCTACTACACAACATTCTTGTCATGTCAACAGGTAATGTTTTAAACCTTAATTATGTAATGCTATCATACTAAATGATCAGCAAAATATTTTTCATAACGTGAGTAGCTTGTCTTTCTAAGTATAAAATGTTACGTACAGTTATTAATGCAGTAAACACAAAAATGAGGTTAGTTATATACCTCCTTGCAAGTTTTTTTAAAAATTAGGACATCTTCACATGTCAATGAATAGAGATCTACATGATTTTTAATAACCATTCCATTGAATAGACACCTTCATCTGTTTACCCAGAGAGGCCTAGGGCATTCAGGTCGGCATTACAAACAGTGCTGTACAAGTAGGAATGTGAGTGTCTCTTTCTTCACTCAGCCAAGTTTTCCCCAGATAAAAGCTCTTTAAAGTGAAATTGCTGGATCAAGAGTTATGCATTTTTAAAGGACTGAAATATCTGTAGAATTACCCTTCAGGATAGTCGCGTGATTTACACTCCACCAGTTTTTAAAGGACTGATATATCTGTAGAATTGCCCTTCAGGACAGTTGTACAGTTTATACTCCACTGGTTTCCTCTCCCTGACTCCTTTGTCAGTCTGGTCTCTTGCCAATTTCTTACCCTGAGTGGTGCTAAGCAGACAACTTGTGGTTATTCCAAGATAGCATCTGAGTGGAGCCACTTCAGGACTAGAGCGATGTGTCCTGGATCTTTGGTCTGTCTCTTGCCTTGCACCAAGCTTGTGGTGACATACCATGACCTTGTTTTGGAGTGATTGAACTTGACCTATTGAGACACAATCCGGGATCCCTAGAAACAAGCGCTGTAGACACAGTCCGGGATCCCTAGAAACAAGCGCCGTAGACACGGTCCGGGATCCCTAGAAACAAGCGCAGTAGACTGTTACTGTGTGGCAGGTGTTTCAGTGACCTCCCGCATCAAGAGGTGTGTGTGTCTTGACAATAAAAAAATAAGTGTTCTAAAAAGAATTTACTGGCTGGGTGCAGTGGCTCACACTGGTAATCCCAACACTTTGGGAGGCCGAGGTGGGTGGATCATTTAAGGTCAAGAGTTCGAGACCAGCCTGGCCAACATGGTGAAACCCTGTCTCTACTAAAAGTACAAAAATAAGCTGGATGTGGTGGCACGTGCTGTAATCCCAGCTGCTCGGGAGGCTGAGGCAGGAGAATCGCTTGAACCCGGGAGGCGGAGGTTGCAGTGAGCCGAGATTGTGCCACTGCACTCCAGCCTGGGCGACGAGCGACACTCCATCTCCAAAAATAAATAAATAAATGAGGATTTACCACGAGAGAAAAGTACATGGTCATATTTACCACAGTCATCAGTCATCATACTCCGTGTATGACTCTATTAGTAAAAATGCGCTTAACTACTCACCATTGATGTTTTAGGCTTTAGTGTATGAACATCCTGGACAAGAATTAGAGATTGAGCTCTTTGATGAAGACCCAGACAAGGATGACTTTTTAGGAAGGTAATTAAAACTCTTCGTGGTTATTGGAGGAGGGCATGGGGTCGGTTTTTTTTTTTTTTAATAATCAAAAATATGTTTTAAAATACATTCATATGCTTGTTATATATTCATTAAATGGTTCTTAGATACAACAATTGTTTCACCTTGGATTTCTTAAAACATTTTGATTCCTAAAAGTTTCACATTTAAGAGAAGTGAATCTGCTAGTTCTGTGCTGTCCATTACAGCAGCCACTAACCTTAAGTTAATTAAAGTTAAATAAATTAAAAACTCTTTCTGAGGGGCACTGTCTTTCTTTACAAGGCTTAATAGCTACATGCAGAACCTCCCCCGTGCTGAGTTCTAGTGGAGAGTTCTCTTCCAGATTGCAAAAATGGGTTTTTTAAGTTTTTTGAGTTGCTGGATTAATTTTTTCAGGATATAGTAATTCACATTGGGAAAATAAATATTGATTTGTTCACTTCAATTGAACAACTAGTATAGCTTTAAAAATAAACTTTTAAAATGGTGGTTTGACCACCATTTGTTAATAATATCAATTATTTCTAATTTAACCTAATTAAGTTACTATTTGACTGAATTAATTGTGGCAAAAAAGATGTAGGATAGAATACATTGGAGAGGTTCATACCTCATGAAGAATGGCCTTGCATGTTATGGCCTGACTTCAGAGTTCATAAGACTTCCTAGGACAACTAGGAACAGTTGAGAGATTTTAAGCCGGACAGGGATAGATCAGGTGCCATCTAGTTGTATCTGGCATCTGCGGGTGGTGCCAATCTTGGAAGTACAGGAGGTTTAGGGGAACTGGAATGGGCCTCCTCTCGGACGCACCGAGTGAGGGCGTCCATTGGGCTCGGTGCAACGTGGGTCTAGAGCCTGAAGCAAGGATAGGGGAAGGTGAGGTTAGCGTTCACTGTGCAAGTGAGGAATCCACAGTAACACACAACCCTACCGAGAGGATGTATAAAATAAGAGGGTTGAGATGCTTTTAACATTTTTTGATGCATATAACATTGTAGGGAAGATGAGTTGTTTGTGTTTTTGTTTTACAACTCTAACCTCAGCTGGGTCAAACTCAGTATTCTGAGCTCACAGAAACTCCACCTCACTCTTACTCTCCTGACACTGGGGGTGAGCTGGAGGAAGCTTGTGGAAGAATAGTCTGTTCCTTGATAAATTATTAGCGTTTTGTTGCATTTCTGGAGTGCTTGTTCATAGACAAATGCTTAAGGTTGTTTCCGTAAGAAATGTGTTTCTATGTTCTAAAGTTGTTTCCGTAAGAAATGTGTTTCTATGTTCTAAAGTTGTCGTATTGTTATTTTTATAGTCTTATGATTGATCTCATTGAAGTTGAAAAGGAGCGCCTTTTAGATGAAGTAAGTTTCCCTGGAGTGTTGGTTTATTGACAGTTGTTGACTGAGTCCCTGCCCTGTGCCGGAGCAGCCACGAACCACCCCTTCTCATCACACAGTGCGGGAATCCTAATTAGTATGACATGAACGGCATTTACGTCACAAATACTAAGAATTTAGGCCTTTTAGAAATACCAAATGAAAGAAAGAAATTTAAGAGTCCATTCAGGTGCGTGTTGAGTACCTACCATATGCTGGGAATCCTTACGGATATGAAGCATAAACTGACGTTATTGCAGACAAACAAGCGATTCCCTGCAGGAGTAAGGGCAGAGCTGTGTGAGATGCCCCCTACTGATGGAGATTTTCAGGTGGTTGGAGAAGGCACAGTGTGGCCAGTGAGGCGTCTCTCGTGAGAGATGCCTGTAGAGACAGTGGGAATTCATGGCAAGGAGACTCGATTTCCACCGTTTTATTGCTATCAGAATAAAAAGAATCAAAAAGGAAACATTTGTGGTGGCTTCTAAAAGGTGGGTAAGATTTAGATAAATGAAGAAAAATTAAACAAAAATGTTAAATTCTGCTGCTTTCATAATCACACGTTTCCTTCCCTTGAGTGTTCAGCATTCATTGGCCGTGACATCTTGTTTTCCTGAGTGTGCCAGGCACTGGATGGATAGTCCTGCTCATGGCGTCTATCACTTAGTGTTTGAGGAGCATCTTTGATTAATTATTTTGTGACTTTTAAGCTGATGCAAGTGTATACTATTTTATTAGTATAGAGTGATGAATTAGAACAAGCGGATTAAATCGTTTGATACTGAAATTCAGTATTTGGAATCAATGTTGTATTATCTCTTGTCCTGTACATTCCATTAAATGCCATTGGTGGAGCATGCTTGCCTGCAGACACAGGCGTAGGCCAGTGGTCCCAGCTGCGGGGGAGGCTGAGGCAGGAGGATCACTTGAGCCTAGCCTGGGCAACATAGCAAGACCCCATCTCAAAAAAAAGAAGTCTATTCATATAAGACTTTACTGTCTCTAGATAGTGCTGGAAAACATTTGAATTCTTATGTGTAAACTAGGAATGATACTAGTACTTGCTTAGGGTTTCCATTGGGGTCAAGGGGTTGGTGCGTGTAAAGCACTTAGAATGGTCTGCTCACCCCTGCTGCTGTCATCGCCTCCAAACGTGCAGTCACTGGCACCCACAGCGTAGAGCTGGATATGGTGAGGTTCAGCCTTCACGTTACTGAGAACTGTGGATGCCTCACGGTTAGTGAGCAGCATGGAACATTTGTAGAGACTGGGTTTAATTTGGATTTTTGATTCAGAACTTTTGCTGAACATAAACATTTTTTCTCTTCAGTGGTTCACTCTGGACGAGGTTCCCAAGGGGAAGCTACACTTGAGACTGGAGTGGCTCACGTTAATGCCAAATGCATCAAACCTCGATAAGGTGCTGTGGAGTGTGTTCTCTTGAAAACTACCTAACCAACTACTCCTCATAACTGAGATCGATCTCTTTCAGTTGTGTTGCTACTTGATTTTTTTAGCAGTTATAGCAGTAATTTTCCTTATTGTGTATTAAGTCAGTACAATAGCATCAGGGATAAATTAAAGATAATGGAATTTTAGAAATGAAATGTATAGGTCATTCATGCCTGTTTTATCAGATCTTCGATTTTGTGCTTGTTAAAGTGCAGGGATTTGTAGAGCCAGAAATCACCTGAGTGCTTCATTTAATTGACTTATATATGGAATAATAGTCTTGTTATTTAAAAGGTATTTATTGTTTTAGTTCTGTCTCTATTACATGGATTGGATGGTTTCTCACCTTTCTTATTTTAGCGTAATCAACATGATACAATCAATCAGACAGAAACGGTCTCTAATCCTGTGGAAACATGGCTGCTAAGGCTTTTTTCCTATCCTTTTAGGTGCTAACAGACATCAGAGCTGACAAAGACCAAGCCAACGATGGTCTGTCTTCTGCATTGCTGATCTTGTACTTGGATTCAGCAAGGAACCTTCCGGTAGGTAACACAGTGGTAACACCTTTGGGTGCTTATTTCCCAGCAACTGCTCTTGCTCGTAACTACTGCTTTGGCAGCACTCTGTGTCACCTGTTCTCGTCGTGTGTTTTCACTTCACATCCAAGTGCAGGAGAGTGGCAGTGGAGAGGGAGAAGTTAGTGTTTGCTCTGGGAGTACATGCATTTCTGTTTATACATTTAGCTGGATTTATCCAGTATATAGGAAAAGAAGATGAATAGTGGTTAGGAGGAGAAGATAACTCCTTAGAAAATCACAAAGTATTAAAACTTAGTTGCCTTAGGATGGAAATTGTCTCTATTCGGAATGGGAATAAAATGAAGCAGCTCTGATTACAAAATCCAGACTCATCCTGGCTGTCGCAGGGCCGTGCGTGAGCTGCTGGGCCTTGGCGATCCCTGGGGTAAACATTAGGTGGCAGAACGGTGCTGCTGTACGAGCGAGCCGGCCTCTGGGTGCCTGGGATGTTTCTTGCAGAACAAAAGGAAGCCATGTCTCAGAATGACCTACTGCCAGATACAAGACACTCTGTGCCTGGAAACATATACTTTTGTTTGTATCAGAATTGTTCATTCGTGGAGAAAAACTGTAAAATATCATTTTATAGGTAATAACTCTAACCACGGAGAAGGAAGATCTTACTAATTCAATCTTGTGAGGCATAGTGTGCTCTCCCGTCATCCTACCTTCAACCCTGCTAGTGAGGATAGTGGTGTGGTCCTTAGTCATGTCATCCTGTTTGATGATTTTGGAGTGCCCGTACACTTGTTGACTAGGCACTCAGTCTTTATTTCATCATGTCCACAGCCACTTTTGTTGGAAGAAAGACTGTTGCCACCCGGTGCAGAAGTTTCTTTCCTCCCCAAGTTGTCTATTGCATAATGCCTCTCTACAGTAAATACTCATCCCACAAGTGCATTTGTACATAAATTGTCTTCCTGTGTCTTGTCTCCCTTTGTCAGTGTTTACAGGGAGATAGACAAGAAGGCAAAGAAGCGTTTAACTCCCTTCTCAACACACACCCTGGACCTAAGTTATCAGCCTTTCAGTCCCCTGTAGTCTTGCCTTGCCGTGGTCAGACTACACTCCATAGTTCACGAGATGCACACCCTTGGCTTCCTCCAGCACCTTCCACGTTCTGAGAACTGTGCATTTTCTTGAGCTTTGCACAGAAATGAAGTAAATATTTGTGCACCAGTGCATTTTATTTAAAATGATGTACAATTAAGATATGATTGATCACTTATATTTCATACTGGGAGGATGTGATGTGATTGTACTCTTTGTTGTATATAATTGTATATAATTGCACTGTTTATTTGAATGAAGCTTTCTTGACCGATTTTAACTTCTTAAAAGAATTCTTATATTTCTCTTAAAGTATTTACCTTGGTATTTGATCAGTCTTCCAGTCTAAAGTCTGTGACTTTATCTGTTACAATTTCAATTTGGAAAAAGTTATTTCATTACATATTTAATCTTTCCACAGAATTTCTATACAGTAGAATTGTTTGCTTTAGCCATGGTAATGTTTGTTGTCAAGGCTTCCGTAATGCCTGGTGGAAGTGTTTCTATGTTAGGGTAGAGAGAATAGTATCAGTGAATTGGCTACAAAGGATTAGGCCTCTTTAGAACTGTGCGTTTTGTCACATTAAATTGAAATTTGAATAATGTCACATAAGCAAAAAACAAAACAAAACAAAAACAACCCAAAGAGAATGTATTGATCTTCTGTTAAAAGGGCACTTTGTGCATAGAATGTGCTGTGGCCGTCAGAGGCAAAGGATCTTTGCAGAGCCGCGGCGTGCCCAGCGCTGGATTAAGGGGCGTCCCGCGAGCTGTGGGGTTCTTTGGCTCTGCCTCTGCACTGTCTGTGGTGCTCCTGGTGCTCTCATTGACCACAATCCACCATTCTCTGCTTTCTCCCCTGGCTCCACTGCCCTAAGAGCATCTACGAGGGAAACTTTGGGTGTGGCTACTTAAAAGAGAGGCGCGCGTCGGGACTAGTGTTTTGTGAAAATACCGCCTCAGTCTATAGAGCACTATTTGTGAGTCCTCCGGGGTTCTTTCTTCCTTTGTCTGTTTGGAAACTGCCAGAATGTGGACTGGAGCTTCTAACGCAGTTGGCTGGCGGTGGACTGATGTCGCATGCTTTTGTTTTCTTGCATGATTTTAATTATTGTGTATTTATTTATTTTGTGCTTGTTTTGTGAACTGTAACACTGTTGTAACATTGGCAAGAACATCTGACCATGAGATGAACAACCCTGGCAAGTAGAGAAGCGGTCCTCCATTCCTCAGCCGCTGCTGGCTCGGTAAAAAAACCTCCCCTGAGGAAGAAACGAAGCCATAATGATTAAAATTCATTTTCTTGTGGTTCATCTCAATGTGAGATGTAAATTTTTTGGTCAACTTTCACAAAACTGTTTTAAAATCTATCCCCTCCTTTTTTTTTTGTTTTTTTTTTTTTTTTTTTTTTGAGATGAAGTTTTGCTCTTCTTGCCCAGGCTGGAGTGCAATGGCGTGGTCTTGGCTCACTGTAACCTCCACCTCTCAGGTTCAAGTGATTCTCCTGCCTCAGACTCCCAAGTAGCTGGGATTACAGGCACGAACCACCACGCCTGGCTAATTTTTGTATTTTTAGTAGAGACGGGGTTTCACCATATTGGCCAGGCTATTCTCCAACTCCTGACCTCAGGCAATCTACCCGCCTCGGCCTCTCACAGTGCTGGGATTACAAGTGTGAGCCACCATGCCCGGCCTGCTATCCCTTCTTGATCAAACACGCAAGAGTCAGAACTAGAGCCTTCTTTGAAAACCCTGCTGTGTAATCAACTCTCAGTCGCTTGGTGATGGTCATGTGAAGATAGAAATTCACCCATTTTTTAAATAAAAATTTGCCTTCACTCACATAGTTTACCCAGAGCTCCTAAGGGAGGAGAAAACTATATTAAGTTTGTGATTCACTTTCTTTTAAGACACATAAAGAACTTCCCGGAGTGGATAATTGAGTGTGTCTTTGTTCCCATCTCATCATATGTTGCCTGTGGTCTGTATGTCTGCATTCCTGTTCTGTTCTCTGTATTTTCAGTAGAGAGCTGTTTTCACCTGCTTCAGAGCCACCGGGGGCCACAGCGTCTTAGTCATTAGCCTAGAAGGTCAGACGTCATCCAGTCGACAGTGAGATTCTTACAGCCCAGTTGTCCTTTAATAGAGTATTGATAGTGCTTTGCATTTTTGTAGAGTTTTCATTTCTGTTTCCAAAGGATTTCCCTATGCATTCTCAGTTTATTCTTTCTTTTTTTTTTTGAGACGGAGTCTCGCTCTGTTGCCCAGACTGGAGTGCAGTGGCGCAATCTCAGCTCACTGCAAGGCTCCGCCTCCCAGGTTCACGCCATTCTCCTGCCTCAGCCTCCCGAGTAGCTGGGACTACAGGCACCCACCACCACGCCCGACTAATTTTTTGTATTTTTAGTAGAGACAGTGTTTCACTGTGTTAGCCAGGATGGTCTCGATCTCCTGACCTCGTGATCCGCCCGCCTTGGCCTCCCAAAGTGCTGGGATTGCAGGCATGAGCCACCGCGCCCGGCCTATTCTTATTTTTTAAAGTAGGGGAAGAGTAAGGGGCAAAACTTGAAGAGCAGGTATTTTGTTTATTTATTTATTTAAATTTTACTTTTAAATTCTAAGGTACGTGTGCACAACGTGCAGGTTCAATTCATAGGTATACATGTGCCATGTTGGTTTACAACTCATCATTTACATTAGGTATTTCTCCTAATGCTATCCCTCCCCCAGCCCCCCACCCCCTGACAGCCCCCAGTATGTGATGTTCCCTGCCCCGTGTCCAAGTCTTCTCATTGGAAGAACAGGTATTTTGCCCTATCTTACAGATGAGGAAAATCAAGACCCTGAAGGGCTAGGTAAGCTGTTCAGTCACACCAATAGTAAGTGGTAACCATGTAGTCTCTCTGGCTGTCTACTCAGATATGTCTAAGGCCTTTTTAAAGTAAAAATGGGGTCAGCAGTACATAATAGCAGCATGTTCTGTTACTTTTAAGAAAATAATTTTTTGCTTTTGGTGATAGCAGAAAATTTCATCATAGACTAGTATAAACATGACAAGATAGCTCCACTGTGTAAACTGTTAGTTTATCTCCAATAGCTTTTCCAAGTTACTTTTTCCCATTCTGCAACTGCTTCCTTTTGCAGAAAGGAAATATCTCTGACCTCATATCAGGAGGGTTACCAAAATCGGCTTTCCTGCAGCATTATCCAAGTTGCACAGTGTACTTCCTTATTAGAACATATGCATCACCTAAGATGTTCTGTAAAACAAATTTGAACTTTTTCCCCACCCGTTGGATTTCAACATGAAGCCAGATCAGTGCTTCCCCAGTTTTCCCCAGAGGGCTGAGACCCTTGCTGTCACTGGTGAAGGCTTTGATGGCTACCAACCCAGTGCTCTCTTACTTCCTACCCACTCAAAAGCACCTTGAATTCCACTTCCAGGAGTGCATTACCACCAGCAATCCCCATCTGCAAACTTAGGACAACAGGAATTTCTCCCAGGCTGGAAACGACCTCTTCATAATGTGGACTCTTAGAACTTTGCCCTCCTTCTTTTGATGAAATCCTGGGTTTTAATTTCAGGCTTGAACAAGAGGACTTTCTCTGACTTATGGTGGCCAGCTTTGGCATCTTAAGCCTGATGTGACAGCATACTTACTGAGCACTTTCCAGGAGCCAGGCAGGGGTCCCAGGGTGCTACATGTTTAATCCCCAGACCCTCATTATCACTTTACAGATAAGGAAATTAAGACAACACCAAGAACCCAGATGACACAGACTAGAGATTCCCAGGCACGGGGTCAGTGTGTGGCAGAGCTGGGATTGGAACTCAGCGTGGGCCCAGAGTTTGGGCGCTTGGAGCCTCCTGTCCACTCCACCCTAGCGCAAAGTGCATTTATTGTCACTTTATTAAGTTTATAGATTCATCAGTCTGTATATGGAATTCATCTGAGATGAGTGGTATTTGCACTGATGCCTTAAACATAACAGTGCTAGCTGGATAATAGCCACCACTGTGGAGGCCCCTAGGCTAATGATGTTAGGAGCTTGTGCAGTTATTTTGGCTGGCCATTTAAAAAAAAAAAAAAAAAAAAAAAAAGGCCGGCATGATAGCTCACTCCTGTAATCCCAGCACTTTGGGAGGCTGAGGTGTGGGTTGGATCACCGAGGTCAGAGATCAAACCATCCTGGCCCAACATGGTGAAACGCCCATCTACTACTATAAAAAAAAAAATACAAAAAATTAGCCAGGCGTGGTGGCACACACCTGTAGTTCCAGCCACTCGGGAGGCAGAGGCAGGAGAATCGCTTGAACCTGGGAGGTAGAGGTTGCAGTGAGCAGAGATGGCGCCACTGCACTCCAGCCTGGTGACAGAGCAAGACTCCGTCTTAAATAAATAAATAAATAAATAAATAACAAAACAAAAAACACAGGTGGCTCCCACTGCTTCCTGATGGTGAGTTGCCCATGGCTGCAAGATGGGTAACTCCAGAGGCCTCCCGAGAGGGCACCTGCCTGAAGCACTTGCATGATCTAGTCTGCCTCATCCCCAGAGCCACACAGCTGTCCACCACCTTACACAGCTTCTCCTGCAACCCCTACCTACAGGCCACAGCCTCTCTCCTTGTTTTACTTTACTTGATGCATGTTAGAATATTAAGTGTCTTTGGTACAGGCCATATCTATCCAAAAGTGAGCTTCAGGAAGGGTTTGTAGTATATCTGAAGAACGTGAGTCCTTCTGGGCAGTGGAGTTCCCATCCTCATTGTGTATGAGCCCCTGGGAAGTATGTGAAGGATGCCCTTGTCCAGGCTCCACCCAGATATGGACACAGTAGATCCAGGGACTTTTGAGAGCTCCACCGGCAGCTTTAGGGTCATGTGAATTCCTGCCTGGCCACATGTTCCATCTTCTCTCCTGGCCCAGCCTGCCAGTCATGGAAGATTGAGAGGCTAGTTATTCATCTTTCTTCATTATAAAATCTTTTGCTTAGCAAAAAAAAAAAAAAAAAAATTGAACATTCAGTTCAGCATGTCACAAGTTTGAAGTTAATTACAACTAAAATGATAAATTCTTTAATCTTGAATACTAGTCCTAGAAGGAGCTTGCAAAACAACTCAGTCTTGTCCTTTTGAGGGCAAGAAACTAACAAATTGGAAAAAAAATCAATAAAAGTAAACATAAAACCCGTAATCATAGGACTGTATTTAGAGCCCAAGAAGCTTCTGTGGGGATGCAGCCAGCCTGACTCCTACCCCTGAAAAGGACAAGGAGCAGAGAGGAGTAGCTCCTCTGCTGGGTGGTGGCTGGGAAGCTGCATCTCAGCGGCTGTTCCAGGACCTGACCTGGCCTGAGAGTGACTTGGGTGGCTGTGGCCCATTGATTGTGCTTCAAATAAAACCTTTCATTATGATTGGTATTTTAGGGGTTTATTCAGCAGAGAATAGTAAATAGAACCCTTTCCTAAAGTCCCACTCTTGTATTTTTGAAATCACAAAGGATCAAGAGGGTGGGGGTAGTAAAAGAATATTAGTCGTAGGGGATAAGGAGCTGTCTTTGGATTAAAGGTTCATTCTAAGATAAAGTCTTGGGCATAAGGAATTTTATAGATGGTGTTTGGTTGTTTGTGTAATTCTGGTGGTTTTGTTTAAAGATTTTTGTTGTTTATTCCCATAAATTCTCATGTCTTTAACCTTACATAAACTTCATTGCATGTTTTATTAACCCTTGGCGTATTCGTTTTCTTCTGACTTGAAAGAGTAACCCATTAGAATTTAACCCTGATGTCTTGAAGAAGACCGCAGTTCAGAGAGCTTTAAAGGTAAACTGTTTTCTCTTCAGGTCAGAGTTAATGAAAACATATTGAAAGAGATGATACTTTGTCTCATAAGTTTATTGGCAAATTACCTCCCATATTTATATAGTAATTAATTGTCTAGTGGAAGAGACCTTACTTTTGTTATCCAATAATTAGTAGTTAGAACTAATTTAAGTCAACTTTGAAGGTAAATTTTATAAAGTACTGTATGATAAATTAGATTATTTTCCTGTTGGCTTTAGGCAACTCTAAGGTGATTTAAATATCTATTTTAATTGGATTCGAATTTGTGAAAATTGTGATATAGAAGTTCTACTTAAAATCTTAACTGATGTTTAAATCATGATTTAAAGGTATGCCTTGTGAACTGTGAATATGCATTTTAATATCACCTCTTCCAATATGTTGAGTTAGGGTCGTCTCTGAGTCACCAACGTCATGGCTTTTGGTGCTGCTGGGTTTGGGTGATAGATCTTTTGAGAACCTTTCAATTTCATTAAATGAGGTCTATTGAAAACTAAGCTCCACTCCCTAAAATATGACATCCACGTGTGTTCTCTGGCAAATTGTTAAAAAGTTTTCTTATGACTTAATGTTTTTTTTTTTTTTTTTCTCTAATTTCTTTGAACATTTTAGGCTTTAATTTTGGGAGGATGTGGGGAATTTTAAATGTAATTATTTAAAGAAAATTCTGTCTATCCTAAAGAAACAGGAACTGTTTTTATCCAGTCTCATCTGGAAAAAATGAGTTAGATTTCAAAAGTGCAGGAGACTGGCAGAGTCTGCTTTATAGTGTGGTGTTTGTGAACCCTCGCTTTGTCCTGCGCCAGGGAGATAAGGTGTGTTACTAGAGGTTCCTCCTGTGGAGTACTAGTTAGCACACTAGTTGAAACAACTGCGCCCTCCAGAACATTGGAAGGAATTACATCAAGACTCTTCTTTGCTACCTGAGAACATAACGTTAAGGCTGAAGGCCCTGAAATCAGACTGTATTTAAATTACACCCCAACTACTCAGCAAGCAGTGTGACCTCCAACAGGACACTTCATCCACTCTGTTGTGTTATTCGTAGGATAAAAGGAGTAGTATCCTCTTCATGGAATTGTTGAATACATTAAATAAAATAATACATACGAAAGCACCCAGTGTAGCTAGGATAATTATATCATAATTGGTATGTTATTAAATTAGCTAATTTAGATCCCAAAAATGCCCATTGTGTAAACATGCAAACTGAGGTTCAGATAGATGCAGTATTTAGGTCTCAATAATCAAGTGATAAATAGATTTGAGGTTTAAGTTCAAGACAGTATGACTTAACCCTTATATTTTTATTATACTTTGTCCCTTTGACTTGTGCTGATGTATTTTGAATACTGCACTGTAGTAGAAAACTTAATGATTTAACCTTATTTCATAGAATTGAAAACATCATCCATTTTAAGAGACATTATTTTATGAACCACTAAGATTTTAAATGCCGTTAAGTTTTGACAGTGTTTATTTTATACTTAGAGAATTTTAGGCTTAGGATAAATAGTTTTATCATATCACTGACAGGTATACCTAAACAGAAAATAGAAGCAAAATAAATTGGTTAGGGCAGCGACAACTGTCACTACTGCCAGCCTCCCCCAAAAAGGTATATATTATCGATTTAAGATTCATTCTGCTTTCAGAGATGTTAGAAAGTTGGGGGGAAAAAAGTATCCATTTTAAAATTGACAAGATGCAGTCAGTCTCTAGGAACAGGTGACCACTTTTTCAGAGATGAGGTGTTTATATTATTAGTTAAGGAGCAGCCTTGGCTTCTGTATCTGTGACAATAGAACTGACTTAGAAGTAGCAGTAGTTCATCTCCCCTGAAGTCAGGGGGTTCTGGCCTGGGGGTCTGCCATGAGCTACTTGTGGCTCCGGCCCGAGGGGACACAGCCTCCTGTGAGGCCAGAACTTAGTTACTTGGCCGTGCCTGACTGCAAGGGAGGTTCGCCAACAAAATCTTTATTTACAGAGGACTGTTCTCAGCTAAAACTTGGGAATTCTAATATTAAAGGAAAAAGGAGAAAATTAACTTAGGGGGAAAATTAGTATTCTCTGCCACAGTAATCTGTAGCCTTGAAAACTTTTTTAACAGTGCTTATTTCATTTTGCAGAATTCACATCCGAAAGATGAACCAGAAAATAGATTATCGCAGTAGGTTTGAGCTAGTAATATTTCTTTCGATAATGATAGGATTTTGACACCTGTTTCTGACATTGCTGTAGTGTTGAGGTCTGACTCTAAAATTATTTAACTCAAAAACATTTTTGTCACCTTCTAATTAATTTCCACTAACACAGACATTTAACTGCATCTTCTTGTGGGGCTAAGTTATAAATAAACCTCATGTCACACGTATGTGCTGTTTCACTATTTTCTCCTATCAGCTCTGTGCTCATGTACACTTCTTACCGTTTTTCCTGTTCCTGAATTTTTTCTTCATATTTGTATCTGCTTAATTTTAATATGATTCTAAACTGATGTTTATTCTTCCAGTCAAAATTATTTAGCAGCTGGTAAGCAAGATTTGATATATGAAAGCTTAAAAATGCTCAAACAGAAGACACTAAGTTGAGAACATAAAACCATATATCTGACACGCTATACTATTTTTATTCCCACCAGAGAAATATTCTGAATTTTACATTCTTTTACATTTGTCTTTCCTCGTGGTTTTTGGTTTCCATTAATTGCACTTTATTCGTTTTCGTTATCCTTGTAAATAAAAGAACTTTCGAAAACTGTAATTAACATTAAGAATTTTTAGAAGATTCAGTTTTCCAAAGTAGTTGGCTGTAAAAATACCAGGCCCTAACCTTTAAAATTTGTGTGCAAAAGAAAGTTTTGTAGTTGTGGTTTGGGATGTGTGTAGCATATGTTTTCCCATTAAATTGTTCCCAGATATTCCCTTAGTATCAGAGATAAATAAAAATGACTACTTATATAAGCCAGTAATTTCATTTTAGTTAAGACCCATTTCAAAATGTGTTTATTTATTTTGTCTGTTTTCTGTTTGTTTTGGGTAGTCAGGGAAGAAAATAAGCAGCAACCCAAATCCTGTTGTCCAGATGTCAGTTGGGCACACGGCCCAGGAGAGCAAGGTAAGGCACTGGCCCCCAGACTCAGCATTGGTGCCTGTCATGCGGGTGTTGTCCGTGTTGCCATCTCACCTGGGGATGCCAGGTTGCAAACACATTCAGTTGTGTGATAGTGTGGGCATCAAGACCAGGGCTTTTCATCTCTTTTTTTCTTAAATCAGTCATTTGATAGATAACCAGCTAGTTGAAATAGCAAGAAATATACTGTTCATTTTTAAAAATAACTTTAGTGGCTAGGTGTGGTGGCTCATGCCTCTAATCCCAACACTTTGGGAGGCCGAGGCGAGTAGATCCCTTGAGGTCAGGAGTTCGAGACCAACCTGGCCAATATGGTGAAACCTCATCTCTACTAAAAATACAAAACTTAGGCTGGGCACAGTGGCTCACGCCTGTGATCCCAGCACTTTGGGAGGCTGAGGCGGGCGGATCACGAGGTCAGGAGATCGAGACCATCTTGGCCAACATGGTGAAACCCTGTCTGTACTAAAAAAAAAAAATTAGCCAGGCATGGTGATGTGTGCCTGTAGTCCCAGCTACTTGGGAGGCTGAGGCAGGAAAATCACTTGAACCTGGGAGGCAGAGGTTGCAGTGAGCTGAGATTGCACCACTGCACTCCACCCTGGTGACAAAGCAAGACTCTTTCCCCAACCCCCGCAAAAAAAAAAAAAAAAAAAGAAATACTCACAGTTAGAGGCCGTCACTCACTGAACTGTTAACGGTGTTAGAGACATGTCCAGGTGCAGCACCCCCCTCAGTGCGGAGGCACTATTACATGGATTCAGAAGTCATTACAGAACCGAGGCCAGGCCTCGCACACGAAGCCTTTATCTGTGGGCACACAAGCCGGGGCCTCATGACACACTCTAAATGCTTTAGACCGTCTCGTTATCTTTTCAACACGTCCACAGTCAATATATAATAGTGTGTACCCGCAAATACATGTCTTGGAATTTAATGAAGGTCAACCTAAGCTTCTAGTTTTTTGTTTTATTTATTTTCTTTTTTTCATTCTTCATTCTAAGCTTCTAAACACATAAAATGAGTAGCCCTTTCCCACAGAAAATGTCGCAGAGCTAATTGGATATTTCTTCCAGATTCGATACAAAACCAATGAACCAGTGTGGGAGGAAAACTTCACTTTCTTCATTCACAATCCCAAGCGCCAGGACCTTGAAGTTGAGGTATTTTATTTGCATTTTTTAACCAATTTGTTGAAATATCATTGACTATTTAAAGTGTACAATTTGCCAAGTTGTGACCCGTGTATACACCTGGGGATCCATTGCCACAATCAGGACAATCGGTAGATCCGTCCCCTAAGCTCCCTTGTTCTCCCTGTAACCCGGACCTCCCCCAGCCCCAGGCAAACACAGACCTGCCTTTGGTCACTGTAGACTACTGTTCACATTTTCTAGAATTTTATATAAATAGAATTATACAGTATGTACTCTTGTTGTCTCTGTGGTGATAATTATTCTGAGGTTTACCTGTGTTGTTGCAGATATCCACAGTTTGTCTTTCTTTTATGTTGAGTAGTATTTATGGATATACCACAATTTGCTCATCCATTTACCCATGAATAAGACATTGATAAAAGATGGGGTTCTTTCCAGTTTAGACCTATTACAGATACATCTGTGAATATCACATACAAGACTGTGTGTACATACGCCTTCATTCTATTGGGTAAAATGCCCAGGAGCATATTGGCAGGTTGATGTTTAACTTCTTAATAAACTGCCAAATTGTTTTCCAAAGAGATTGTGCCACGTTACATTCCCACCGAAGTACATGTGAGTCAAGCTGGCCCCACGTCTCGCCAGTGCTGTGTTGTTAGTGGGTAGATGGTAGTATTTCCGGGTCCAGTGCTGTTAGTGGGTAGATGGGAGTATTTCGGGGTCTGGTGCTGTGCTGTTAGTGGGTAGATGGGAGTGTTTCCGGGTCCAGTGCTGTTAGTGGGCCACTAACAGCACAGCACTCGGACCCGAAACACTCCAATCTACCCACTAACAGCACAGCACCCGCGACCCAGAAACAGCCTCATCTACCCACTAACAGCACTGCACCCCGGAAACAACTCCCATCACCCACTAACAGCACAGCACCACCATCCGGACATACACTTCCCGATCTACCCACTAACAGCACAGCACCGGACCCGAACACTCCCATCTACGCCACTAACAGCACTAGGGACCCACGGAAAACACTCCATCTAACGCCACTACACAGCACCGGTCCGGAAACACTCCCATCCAACGCCACTAACAGCACAGCACCCGGACCTGAAACACTCCCCATGCTACCCAAGTAACAGCACTGGACCCGGAAACACTCCCGATCTACCCACTAACGAGCACACTCCTGGACCCGGAAAAACCCCATCTACCCCACTAACAGCACAGCACCGGACCAGAAACACTGCCCATCTACCCACTAACAGCACTGGACCCGGAAACACTCCATCTACCACTAACAGCACAGCACCAGAC